CTTTCGCCCGATCCACCATTAAAATAACTGTAGAATAAAGCGTACCTCACTTGAATCGCACTCAAAACACTTGTTATCATCGACGGGCTGAGGAGTCTGGGAATATCTGCATACTGGACAACTACGAGACAAAAATATGATAACTGTCTTTCACAACTTCAGGATCACACAAGACACATGATTCAACGAGATTACAGAGATTACCATGAATCTCAACAGTAAAAAATCCAACCACATTATTGCAGTCGATGACAGATTTTTTTGAACACATCTTTTCGAAATCAGTTTTCTGGTCATTTCTTCAAGTCGGTTCAGGCTGACTTTGTATCTTAATTTTTAAATTTATAAGAGTCTTAAGCACAGTGGCAACCAAACAGAAATCGCCTAGTCAGGGTCCAGTGAGTGCGGTTAACCCTGTAACCACCAGGAGTGACTAACATATAGTTTCTCCTCACAATAGTACTAATGAATGAAACACTACGGTTATGAGAATAAAGGAAATGATCGCCAACTGAAGCTCTTGATTGTTAAACAAATTCTCCATGTTAGTACCATAGGAAATATATGAAGAAAAGTATGGAGAATATGCATACTGATTCAGGAGTGTGAGGAGTTCACGAACCGAGCACCCCACCATCCGTTTAGCGAACCAGGGAATGTGCAAAGCGATCGACGAAACAAGCAACAAAACCGACCACCCAACAAAACAGGCAACTTACCGACCACACGACGACGCACATACAGAACCGACCATTTGCCGAACCAAATAAATTAATGTCAGTCCAACAAAACAAGCAGCGTACCAAACGTTCGACCAACTAACCAACGTATCGACCGCCCGACGAATCGAAAACGTCCCGACCGTGCGACGAACCAAGCGACGTCCCCACCGCCCGGCGACTGTACGACGAGACACGTATCAAACTGACCGCTGAACGAATCCAGCAGCGTGATTGACGTCCGGAAAGACGAAAAGCGTAGTTACAGCGTGAAGCAGCCGAACGTCCAACGAGCAAGCGCTCCAACCAACCGACGAACAGAGCAACGTGCTGACTGTCAAACGAACCATCTAAATGATTGTAATTTTAAATTTTTCTTTCGCGCTATATTCCATTTTGAGAAGAGTACTATCAAAATGTATAAAACTCACGTCGTATCAGTCCATTTAGACAGGCAGCTTCCGTGAAATGAGTGATTACATAAAATTGTTAGAACTCCCTCGACAGATTCATCCTGAAAGGCAAAGGAAAGCTAGAGTGCAAAGTCATTTTAAAATTCAATAATTTACTTGAGTGTGGACATCTGGAATATATCAGAAGTAAATGAAGATACTGAATCCGAATATGTATCAAAAATCTTAAAATTATTTCAAAAAGCTGTTGCTGTCGTTGTGCAAAGCCTTTGAGTTTGATTGTAAGTATAAATTCATAATAAAAGCTGATATTTGCCCGAACATTTAAAACACTTCATCTTTTGATGCAGGCTTAAGTTTTTAACACTCTGTGAATCTTGGTTCTACTTCCCAGGAAGCGACTATCAGTTTTTGAATTTTCAGCTGGCAACCTCTATATTCTGTGACATCAAGTACTTCGGTATATTTAGTGACGCACAGAAACCGAAAGGAAATAACAGAGAAACTTTACAGCTGTATTTTGATGTTATGATACCAAAAGTCTTATTCTATTCGATAGAATCATCTCTCTTCTCCACAGGACAGCACATTCTGTTATTTAAAAACAGACAAGAGAAACCGAACTTTTTGAAAATACACTGGATGTCGTATGTTCCAAGAAATGTAAATAAAACTATTGTCTCACGCAAAAGTTAATTTAATAAAAGCTTTTGAAGCCGAAGCCAACGTTTTTTTTTATCTCGCTCACAAAAGTGGTAACTGAAAAATTCAATAACAAAGATATCAACTGCAGCGGGAAGGACCATCATATTGATTCCTTGAATTTGGAATTGATAAAACACCACGTAATAAAGCAATCTGCAGGTAAAGCTCCGCAAGATGTTTCACAAAGGAACACGTCCTTGATATAACTCTGGAAACATTGCTGAGTTATTACTTCCAATATGTTTGTTCACAACGTGAAAATTTCAATTTTCAGTAGGTTACTCGGCGATCGAACCAACTAAATAAAATGGAGCATGCTTGAGTTCGAAATAACATAAAAATACGTATTGCTACTAATTCGTAAAACTATCACTTTTCGTCTACTTCTCAAAATGCAGGTTGATAGCACTTACAGTGCGTAAAAAATTGAAATCCTTACCATACGTTCTAAGCACACTGGGCATTTCGGCAGTTCAGTCAGTCCTTCACATGGCAGACTTCCTCCCTTTATACAGGAAGAGAAAAGAAAACATTTGTTTCAGTATGAATTATTAACGACTTCATGTCTCGAACCGTCTAATGATTACAGCGACGGCCGAAAAATGTTTGCAATTTTAAACAAATTGCTTTATAAACTCAGTACATGCCTTCTCCTGCAGCTCTCTATATACAATCTCTACATACAAATTGATGCCTACAAACACATGAAAGGACAGAAGCAACTCACTGGGGATTAACTGAATTATGAAAAACTGAAAGTCTGTTCCAGCAATAAACGATTATGTTAAAGTATTAGGCGATTGGCCAATGCGGACAATTGATAATTTCCATGAAAATCTCTCATTTTGTGAGTGCTACTCTTTGAAACGAACTAGTAGCGAAGCTGCTGAATAAATACTGCTTACTAACCGAGTTCGAGGTCCATACTGTTTATTACGGACCGATTTTTTTACGCTCGGATTTGTGGCCCAAGCGCGAGCGTATAAAAACGAGGTTCCGTAACTTACAGCACGGACAGACGAAACGAAACGATTAGTAAGATATCTTATATTTCTCATGGTTCAAATTGAGGAGGCAGATTTCAATTCAAACAAAATTTTGAATTTAGCGGGTCGCACAGTGAAATACGGCACTTTAAATTTAATTGACATATGAGTTAAATTTCGTTGCAGTTTAAACATACTTCAATCTGGCCTGCAGAGCAGGCGTAATTTTGGCACGCGAGTGCTCAGTTATTTTATAACGAAAATTGTGACTGCCATAATTTAAATGGCAGCGAAAGGCTGGGAAGAGAAATAAATTTTTACCGGGGGGGGGGGGGCGGTCGAGGATATCACCCATGTGATATTCCCCAATTTTCAAACTTTACATCCACTACGATAAGTCTTCATTAAAAATTTAATTGAAGATGAGAGAACATTTTGTGGGTTGTAACGGCGTAAGGGAAATATTTGTATGTTCATTACGTCGTACCAGAGAATACACAACACGAAATATATTTTGCAGCAAACAGTGAGCTGTTCGTAAACACTGTTTCATGCGCGTTGCAAAATATTTGAAGGATAATTAACACAACAGCCTCTATTTTGCGAGAAAACATGCTCGTATATTTGTCCTTGGACATTATCTGTTCCTTGAAGCTCACAGTTTTCCTCGAGCTTCGCTCTCGGAGAACTGTCCACATTTTGGAACAGATAGTGTCTGCAGACAAATATCCGTGCATATTTTTGCGCCAAATAGAGGCTATTTCTTATTTATTCATGAGGTTTTCACAGCAACTTACTTCTGATAATTTCTTGGTCTCCACTTTAGCAACATACACTAAATGACAAACCTAAAATGGTATTTGATTCATTAAAAAACGCATCAAATGATAGAACCAATAAATTATACATTCTAGTTATCAACTGTCCTACAAAAAATATCAAGTGAAACCATCCAATATTTTTTCTCCCTCTTTTTTAGATAAATCAAATGATTCCTTTATTCTTGTAGCAGTACCCAATTAGTATCTCCTTAACCCAGAGCTAAGCACCCTTAAGATGCCTTCCCACCTTCCTAAAAAATGGCAAATACTAACTAACCCCTTAAATTCCCTAGATCTGATTGTTAATTCTCCCCTATTGCTGCTGAACAATTTCATTGTTAATTAGTCACGAGAATTTGGATTTAGATCAAGACAAAAACTTCTGCATGATAAGTTTGAGTATTCTCATTACCTGTTGGCCAGATAATGTATATATTTATTTAGGGAGAAGTTCCATGTTAATCACTACTGGGAGTTTAAGATTAAAATTACTTAATACACAACCCTTCTAAAGCATTGTGATAACTCCTCTTTTTAGAGGATTGTTCACCTACCTCATCCTCTAAGAGATTGTAATGATGGCCATTGTATGTATTGTAGAAATCATCTGCAATTTCCTTTAAGGAAAAAAAGATTTTTGAAAACATTCTGTGATTTTTATCATACACAAAAAAAGGGAAATACAAAACTTATAATTATGTCTATTTTGTCATGCTCTCAAATTTTGTCATAGTTTTGATTAATTGGTAACAGGACTTCTTGTTGTCCAATTCTGTCTGTAATCATACTCATGATTAACAAATCAGACTCTTGCTTCACTGTGGTCCGATTTTGTTCATCACTCATATGATTACAGACTGAGTAGGACTCCACTCCCTCCTATTACCATTATGTACGTTATTAGTGATCTCACCTGATTCCTGAATTTGACAAGAACCATGTAATGATTTGGGTTGCTATCTCTGATGATCTTGACACATTCAATAAACTCCCTAAAGAAATATTTTGTTTAGATGATCAAACAATCTGTGTGAAACAAATGAATTACACTGCTTATCAATAAAGGGCAAAATTACTGAGCGCTGATTGGTTGAGAGAGAGGGCATTTTTTCTTAATCGAGGGCATTTTTAGTAATCAAGAGAGGGCATGATTACCTGTTAATGATTGGCTAATCCGTTGCATAGCAACCGTTCGTTATCTTGAAATTTGTTAAAAATAGACTGCGCGCGTGATTTTCCTTCGTATAAATTTTGCCCTTTATTGATAAACAAGTAATCCCATGAGACCTCGTACTAGTAAGGATTAATTGCACTTGAGTTTTTAAAATTTTCCAAATTGCCCTCGTCGCTTCGCGACTCGGGCAATTTTGGAAAATTTTGAAAACTCTCGTGCAATTAATCCTTAATAGTACTTGGCCTCATGTGATTACATATACAAAACAATTTATCTGCTCATGATGGTCCAGTTGACACCCTCCTTCCATTCAGCTGCTTATTTCTAATGTGCTCTTTTCCCCCACCAGTTATTGAATGGATCACCAGCAGGTGTTCCATTTTATAACAGTTCCACCCTTAAAAGAGAAAATAGAACCCAGGACAGCAAATTGAACTGAGTGCATATGTCCAAAAACATGGTTTAGAGCCCAGAAACCGGGAAAAGTGTCCAAAACACTGGATCATGTTAGTAGAAGCCCCAAAGCCTACCCCATCGCCAACCCAGCTACACCTGGTAAGCCTAGCTCAAGCCAAAGTCTCAGGATGCATATTTTCCATACTGTTTTCCAAGTATTTTCTATGGTACTCAGTGTTCTCCCTTATTTTACACATGACAGGTAAAATAAATTTTCAAACCGGTAATAAGAGGTAGTACAGGCGGAAAATGTTACCGGTTAATGCCTGAAAGGAGAAAACTGGGTACTAACATGGTGATTTTTGTAAATCATCATGAGCTTGAATGGTTGGTAAATTCATTTCCTTTATTCTCCCAACCTCCAAGTTTGATTCAGCTGTGATAATGAGATGAGAAATTAGATACTTGACACTGTTGCAGGTAGAAGGGTTAAAAGCGATTTCCATTGAACACACAGTCAGCAATAACCAACATGTCAGTTAATGATATGAAACATAATTAACTCACTCTGAAGGAGCTACAAACTCCATAAGATCCTTGCATGTCCTCTTAGCAGGGACAGCTAACATGCAGACCATTTCACTCCGCTGGACTCCGTCACTTAACAAAGTCATGTCACTAGAAAGATCAATAGCATCCTTAGTTCTGTCAACAGTACATCAACTGTCATGGATTCTCAGATTTCACTGAGGGATAATGGGGATTTATCTTGGGATTTACAGTGAGAGGTAGGAAACCATGTACACAGAAAAATTCAGTGGCAAATCATATGATTGCGTTCCCAGGAACACAGGGAACAAATGTGATTTCAGAAATGTGAAAAAAAAATTATCTAGAAGGGGATATTGTCTGTTTGAACACTAAATTCTCAGGGGTCAAATAATAAGAAGAGTATAAAAATCAGTCTTGAGAATTGATATTTAGATCTAGGGAGTGGGAGGGTTAAAGAGAGAGAGTTCATTTGTTGTTATTTACTTGTTCTTGTAGATGTGAATAATTCCCTGGATGATCTCTACCATTGGATTTCCACAGAAGAAAGCTATCTTTCCCTGTCCTACACTTTTCTCCTCTTTTTCGTCTCCATGAGCAGAATCCAAGTTTGTATCTTTGTCTTCAAAATAAAATGAAGCAAGCTAAAACTTTTTGATTTGAATGGTGATGCAAGTTACCATTAGTTACAAGTATTAAGTTTCTCTAGGTTCTCTAAATTTGCTTCAAGATTTAACCCTTTTGATTCCTAAGAAAGAGCAGCATTCTTAGATTATCACCCCAGAATAAAAAGATAACAAAACTCACAAGGTCTATTATACTTTAAAACACCAATAATAGAGCAGATCTGCCTAACTTTATATCAGAGTGAAAAAGTACAATGGTATGATCTACAGCCTTGAGCTTACCACTACTCCTTGCATGAGTTTCAATGTGAATGTCATGAACATATCTTTCACCCCGATGAACTTTCATTTTTTCCTCAGAGATAGCATCAGTAGACATGGGCTCTTTTTCTTCTCCACTTGTGAGTTTGCCCTCTTCTGATGCTGAAATTTCTTTACAAGCCATAAATCCAGGGGCTAAAACACATTGAAAGTAATATCCTTGTTACAAATTTAACCCTTTTTTCCTTAAGAGTGACTAGCATCTAATTTCTCCTCACAATATTATCACTAAATCGCACATTTAGGCCATTAGGATGGAGGGGATGATCACGCACTAAAGAGGCTCTTTATTGTTAAACAAATTCTCCTTGTCAGCACCTCAACAAATGTATTGAGAACAATGTGCAGGATAAGCATACTGATGTGATAGCGTAATAAAAAGAGTGAAATTTCTAATGATGAAAGTGTAAGTATATAGGTTCTTCTCTGCTTCATTTTTGGCTCAGATGAGTATACAAGGAGCAAAGGAAGACATTAACAATTCAAATGAAATGTATCAAAAGTAATATTGAAACAGTTCATGCCGGTTAATGTATTAGATAAACCTGTATTATTAAATACAAAATAGATATTGATCAAAATTATAGCGAACATACCCTGGTACTCACCACAGTAATCTAAACCTTGGGGCCCTGGCAAATTATCTGCAACCTCAAATCTGAGAACTACCAAGGAAATGGACATTTATTCTTCCTTTCTGTCCAACACCTCAGTTATTTGAGGGAATATGTGCCACAAATCCGGCCAAAATGTGTAAGACTACACGTTTGTTTTTACGAATTCATCGTGATAAAGAAAATACGAGCCTTCACTCCGTGACCAATAGCCAAAACAGCAACATCGTCGTGTAAGATTTACAAATTGTCAAGTATGCGTGTGACTGCTGTCAAAGTTTCGTATGATAGTTGAGAAACAGGTGCATTTTCCAATTTAAATGAAATTGTCTCCGTGCCAGGTAGTGCATGGTACGGAGATTCAAAGAGCTGGAGTTTGTCTTAACTGCAGTTAGGGCTAGGTTTTAACTTTATTGAATGGAACGTGATGTGTTGCAAGGTGTAAACTGCTGACCAATTTTTCGCGGGAAAATCAAGGTCAGGTGCAGAAAAAAAAAGAAAATACCAGAGACCGTTGCAGGCGCAATCGAATCATGTCGAAGTGTTTTTGTGCTTATCTTCGTTAAATTACTATTGCAATTCCTCGATTACACGGCAGCATCATACATTAGATCCGTGGTAAAAAGGTACTCGTTGTCTGCGTGGATCGTACAACTTGTCACTGATTATTAGGTATTGTTCAACAATCATGGCGCTGTTGAAGACTGTCATTGCCATCTTCCTTATTGTCGCGGCATTCAACGCCACATCATTCTTTACGCACTTTAAAAATTTTCTCTCTCCAATTCTCAAAATGCTTCGAACGCGGATTCCTTCGGTTGTCAATCTATTAGAAGAAACTGTGGCCACAATTTACAAGTATTGCGCTGAGAGCTTGCTTAAGGACATCAAGAGAGCCATCGTTGTTTTAACCGAACTGGTTGGAAGGGTGGCTGAGTTATTCCATCCAGCTGTTAGAAGTTTGCTTGAAGTTGTAACTGATGGCTTGGTTGCCCTTCACAACAATGGAATGGGTTATACTGACGAATTCCTACAGCAAGTTCTTGGCATTGACGGTAATTAATTTCCTAACTTAATGATGATATAATATAATTTCTCTATGCTTAAACAGGCTTACAGATGCTATATTGTAAATGAAACCCTGATCACACATGCAACATTATAACATATCATGAAAAAAAGGGAAGGACTTTTTTTTTTCACTATAAGCTGTTACTTTTATCAACATATTCACACCACTACCGTAACAAAAGTATGACAGGCTCAAGTCATTTAGTATTCAGCAAACAGGTCATGAGAATATTCAAACTTATCAGGTCCAAAGTTGCTATCTCGAATCAGACACCAAATTCTTGTAACCTATTTGCAATTATGTGTAGCAGCTATGGGGAAAATTAGCAATCAGTTCTTGGGAGTTCAATGGTTAAAGAACCTCAAAAAAAGGGGATACAATGCTGCAGCACAGTGAGGGAGGTAAAAATTTATTTTATTGAAAAAGTTTTAATCATCTTCCTTCATGGGTAATTTGTGTCACTCCCAGTGGTGGCTTCATAGCTCAGATGATATGAGCACCCAACCAGTATTGGGAAGGCACAGGTTAGAATCCCACTGAAGCCTGAATTTTTCTTGGCTTCTCTCCTGTAATTGCTAAAATTGTAGTCCACATACAAGAACAATTTTGTTGCTTGTTTTTCATTTGCAGGCTGAATGAAATTTATTAATTTATTCCATTAAAAAGGTTATAGTGAACTACTGGTATATATAACATAAGAGTCATGTTTCATCTTGCATGTAAGAAAATAATTATCATCAGCATCGCTACTCAAAAACACTTGACTGTGATACCTAACTAGTTATTTGATCATGAGTGCTAATTTTTTTTAAAACTTATTATAGGTGCTACTTTACCAGATCAAGTTGGAAGAGCAAGAAACAAACTCTTATCGGTGATTTTGTTGCTCTTTTGGATCATCATGGGTATCATTTGCATTTCCAGAATGTCTTATAACAAATTTTTCCTTTTGATGTCTGGTACATTCCTTGTCCATGCTTTTTTTGGGCCCGTGTGGTGTATACGACGGTTAGCATTTTGCATTGGAATTTGCTTATGGATGGGTTCTTTAGTCTCCAGTAAGCCAATACCAGCGGCGATCACTGTTTTGCTTGCTTTCACATTGACAGGCTTTAGAAAATGGCAGAAGAAAGTTGCTATGACGTCGAACACAAGTCATCTCTTGAAGTTTAACCAAAGTATTGAGAAAAGACTTGATGGAATAGAAAGAAAACTAGACCTTTTGATGACGAGGCTAAATGACATAAACAACAATATGCACTCCAGCTATTAAAGAAGTTGGGCTATGAATTTATTTTTTGCCAATGTTGATTGGGGGAGAAGTTACAAAAGTCAAACCTGCTAATCATTGCAATTACAGGATGGACATGTCTTCTTTCAAATAAAGATTAGATTATGATTATTCATAATCAACTATAATGTTTAGGAATCAAGGACTAGTGATAAATGTTCCTTATGATAAATATACTAGTTGTTCAAACATGACAACAAGAAAAGCATGTCATTGAATAAGGATACTAATGGATCATACCTCACGCTGTTCACTTTAGTCACCATTTGTTGATATTGCTTGATGCAGAATCGATTTTCCTTGATGTCTAACCCTTAAACACTTAAGAGTGATTGGCATCTAATTTCTCCTTATAATGTCACCCCTGAATCAAACATTAAGGTAATAAGAATAAAGGAAATTGTTGGAAACTAAAGAAGCTCTTGATTGTTAGACAAATTCTCCTTGTAAATACCTCAGGACATGTAAAAGGAACAGTATGGAGAACTTGTATACTGATGTTGTGGTTTGGAAAAGTTTTAGCCTTGCCAAT